TCCTTGGCTCACAGATATTTAGGCAGGATTCAAACTATTAATGGCACATTCAGAAATTATGTAGTTCAAGCAAAGTTAAAGCATGTTTCCATGTAAGATTTACCAGTGTTGCTCTCTAATAATCCAAGCAATGGTTAATGGTGTTTCATTTTTAATGACAAAGAAAAGCCCTTCTATAAAAATGGTGATGGGTTTTGAACTAATAAGAAGATTGTAAGAGATTTAGGAGTTGTAGTGCATAGCTTCATGAAAATATCAATTCAGCATGTGACAGCAATGAAAAAGCAAACTTCATGCTGGAGATTGTTAGGGAAAGGATGGGGAATAAAACAGAAATTATCTTAATGCCCTTGTGTAGAGCCATGGGGGGGGCTCTTCTGGAATAACGTCTATAGTTTTGGTCACTGTCTTTCAAAAAGGATACTGCTGAGCTGGAAAAAGTACAGAAGAGGGCAAGCAAGGTGATTGTGGGTTGATCACCTTTCCTAGAAAAAAAAAAGGCTAAAGGGGACATGTGGTGGAGAAAGTGGCCAGAGGAATCTTTTTATCCCTCTCCCATAATAGAGGGTGACTCAATTTGGTGACACCCTACAAAGTTGATGGGCAGTAGCACAGGATAGATGAATGGAAATACTTCTTTACTCAACAAGTAATTAAATTCTGGAATTCACGACCAGTGGCGGTAGTAAAGGCCATGAGAATCAATAGCTTTAAAAAGGGATGAGATTGGTGGATCATTAGTGGTCTATCAATGGCTATCTGCCATTGTGAGTAAATGGAACCTCCATATTCAGAGGCAGTAAAACTCTGAAACCCAGTGCTAGGAGGCAACTGAGGGAAGGCCTTGGCCTCTGTGCCCTGTTCGTTGGCCCTCCAGGGCAGCTGGTTGGCCAGAGTGAAACAGAATGCTGTTCTAGATGGACCATTGGTTTGATCCAGCAGGACTCTTCTTATTTTGATTATGTTTCAAATCATTTCCATCTTCATGGAGTGAATAATTTCAACATGGAAAAATTATGTCTCAGTTCTCCACTCAAAACTTTTAATATTTGTTAAATTCAAGATAACTTTTCCCCCACTGCCATTGAGGAATATGCTTTATTTCAGAGCACCAATCACGCTTCTAACCTGTACAGATGTGATACCACAGACTGGAATTTTGAAATAAGTTTAACTTGTCTTCCCTAAAATCAGACTTTTCTTTAATGCTGTTTTTCTAAGAACATTTTGTACATTTCTTAAAGTGTGTGACTAGCATCCATTCTAGTAATTGCTTGTAGTAGGCTTTCTCCTGAACCCCTGTGTTTTTTCCATGGCATTTGTAAATCCAGCTTGGAGGGGGTGGAAAAGAGAGTGACAAAAGGTCTGTGGGTTAGCAAGAAGAGTGAAGAGTTTCTGTGATGCAGAAAGGTTGTTATACTTTTCAATAAGGTACCTTTTGATACCCTTTTATGTGGACTGTCATGAATGTAACACTGATATATAAATTTAACAAGTGCTGCTGACAGTTAGCTGGTGATACTTTTTTGTTCTGTTTTCTGAAAAGGAGAGTACTTGTATATAAACTCTCTGTTTCCATTCTTTACTTGATTTGAAGGTCATCAACACAACATTTTTTCATATATCAAGAATGCACTTTCCAACCAAACTTTAGTGTGGTAAAGATCCAGTTTAATACATAGTTAAGCCAAGTTAGTCCTGTGTATCCTAGTTTGTTGCCTGAATTAGTGATATGAATTAAAAAGAAGGGGGGAAGCTCTGACTTTTCATTATGTCACACTCTAATAGCATATTCAATAATAATTACATTTTAACTTGCTCCAAGCTTTTCCTGTACTGCGTGCCAAATAATAAAATACCATATAAAACTCTATCTAAAGAACTCTCCTTTTTAAAGGTTAAATTAGAGCCAGTACAATCATCAGAGGATTATGCAGTATTGCATAACAAGAACCAGGAAGGTTTAGTACCAAATTGCCACATTTAGTCAACCATTACAACAATGGCAAGTAGCCCTCACTGTTTTGCAGAAGCATGGGGGAAATCAATTTAAATGGCATTGACATGCTTAGTTATTAATCAGCAGTTGGAAGCTGTTTTGGAAGGAAAATAAAATATGGGTGTAAAAATGTCATGGTATAATATAAAATTCAAACAAGAAGTCCATTTGGTACATCAAGAAGTATACATCTTCTTCGTGGTCTCTGTTCATCACACCTCTGGGATGTAGTGCGCCTGCATCGACCTCGATCAGTTCCTCTTGAAAAGCGAAAGGGATTTTCGCGCCTGCTCCCTCGTCACGTGCCGGCCCCACTGCGCATGACTAAGGGAGGGGCATGACAATCCTCCCAGTTCTCTTCTGACCGCCACGCTGGTAGGATCTCCTCTGCTTCAGTCGGTAAAAATTTGGGCCTTGAGACCTATTCCTCTTTTTTCTTCGAAGTTTCTTCGTTTTTTCTTGTTTGTTTTTCGGTAAGTGAAAAGATACTACGGATTTATTTCTTTTGTGACTCTGTCATTTGGTTGTCTTTTTTCTAAGACTGTGTGTTCCCCCCCCCCCGGCCTATGGCCAAGAGGTGGGGTTTCTTTAAACAGTGTCTTAAGTGCGGTAGCAAGATCGCCCCCTCTAGACGGGCACTCGCTTTGTCTTTTGTGCCTCGGGGAATTGCACCAAGTGGACTCTTGTACTCATTGCGCAAAGTTCTCAAAGCAGACAAGGAAGAACAGAGCTGCCAGACTTCGTGTTGCGCTTTTGGAGTCAGCGCTTTCACTGATGTTGCCACAGGACACTTCAGGGCATGCATCAATGTCAACTGCCGCCTGGGCATCGATGGCTGCGTTGTCCCCAATACTGACTCATGTAGATGTCGGCCGCCTGATGCTGAAACGCTTGGCCCAGACATCTCAGTCCGAAGCCCATACTCCCTCTAAAAAACGCAGGAAATGCACGGACATCTGGCCAGTCAAACATAAAAGGCATAAGAAAACTCCCCCTGCGCAAACTCCACTGACCCCTCGGAGGACCACGGAACTGAATCCTATGGGGGCTGCTTCACTTGACTCTTCGAGCCGAGAGCAGCCACAAGTTGTACCTTGGTCACCTTCACTGTGTCCTATCCAGCTCACTGACTCGGAGCACACTATGGACTTAACACAGATCTCCCGGTCTTCCAGTGACAAAAGCCTACATTCAGACTGCGGAGCCGAAGCGTTTGTCCATCCTTCACAGCTCCGACCTGATGATCGAGAACAGCCATCAGCACCAATCCACCCGCCACTACCGCCCTCCTGGGATTAACAGCAGTGGCAATACATGTATGGGGCCTATCCATTTTCGGGCAGTATGCCTTGGGTCCTACCCCAAACAATGGAATGGGACCGTCAGTCCACTTCTTCCTGTCTCTCCCGACGGGCAAACCTGCCAAACCCTCGCATCTGACAATTCCAAAGTTTAAAGACCCATCGAACCCGATTCCGTCGACACAGATATTACCTGTGTCTTTTTCCAAACCGTCTGAGCACTCCGCCTCTTCTGACACTTCCTCCCAAACAGGGGACGAAACCCCTGATCCTCCGGTGGAACCCTCGCCACCTCAACAAGTGGGCGATGATCTCCTAATCTCCCCTTTGGAAGACCTAAAATCCTATGGAGATTTCATCAAGCGGATGGCTAACACGCTGATTCTGTCTACGGTACAACCCCCGCCTACTGTGACAGAATCCGTATTCATTATCGTCCAGATGGATACCTCTACCCTGATTGCCTTACCGATTACTTCAGTCCTCCTTCAGGTGGCTAAAGTCCCATGGTCTCACCCGGCATCTACCCCTGTCTTGAGCCAGAGAGTAGATCATATATATAAGCTGCAGGAGCAAGGTACTGGATTTTTATTTACCCACCCTAAACCTAATTCCATCATAGTCACCTCCTCCTCTGAAGGCAGATGCAGTCATTCCACCCCCTCTGAGAAAGAAGACTTGATTCGTTTGGAGGAAAATTTTATTCTGCTGGAGCACTTGGCATCAATACCTCAAACTATACAGCATGTATGGGGAGATATCAGTTTGCTCTTTGGGAGCAGATGTCTGAATTTATTGCAACCCTCCCTGAGGACTCTAACCGCCAGGCTTATAGAATTCAAAAAGAAGGAATGCTCTTGGCCAAACACCAGCTCAATGCAGCTAAGCACACACTGGACACAGCAGCCAGAACGTTGACTTCAGCGGTTTCCCTCTGATGGCATGCCTGGTTATGCTCCACGGCTTTACCACAGGACACCAGGACTCTCATTGAAGATCTCCCATTCGAGGGGGACGGCCTCTTCAGTGCTACCACTGATATGGTCCTGCAAGACCTAGGCAAAAGCATAAAAACATCACGGAATTTAGTGGTCACCTTGGCTCCTAAACTATCCAAAGCAAAATCCTGGAACACGCCATGGTCTCGCAAGCCCTCATCTAAGTCGTTCTCGGAAGCATAATGGCAACGCTCTCCCACTGTGTCTTCCCATATGGACACAAACCTAAATTCTCGCCTGTCGCTCAGCCTAGGACTAAGACTCCCAAGGCCCCCAAGCAGAGCCTTTGACTACTTTCGTCCCACCCCCACCCGCATGTCTCCCTACCTGGTTGCTTGGCAGTGAATAACATCCAACCAGTGGGTACTTTCTGTCGTCGAGAAGGGGTACCTAATAGAATTTATCCAGATACCCGAGGCCCCCAACTTCATACTTACCCCACCATCTAGTATGCTCCTGGAAGAGATCCAGAACCTTCTGCAACAGGACGCTTTAGAATCAGTCCTGACAACACAACGTTAGCACGGGTTCTACTCCTGTTATTTTACGGTCCCCCAAAAAGATGGAGGACTCCGTCCTATTATGGACCTCAGGGGACTCAACCAGTTTATCTCATACCGGAAATTCAGATTGACAACATTGCAAAGTATTCTTCTCCTTCTCAGCAGAGGTGTCTGGATAGTAACCTTGGACTTGCAAGATGCATATTTTAAACATCACGGAATTTAGTGGTCACCTTGGCTCCTAAACTATCCAAAGCAAAATCCTGGAACACGCCATGGTCTCGCAAGCCCTCATCTAAGTCGTTCTCGGAAGCATAATGGCAACGCTCTCCCACTGTGTCTTCCCATATGGACACAAACCTAAATTCTCGCCTGTCGCTCAGCCTAGGACTAAGACTCCCAAGGCCCCCAAGCAGAGCCTTTGACTACTTTCGTCCCATCCCCACCCGCATGTCTCCCTACCTGGTTGCTTGGCAGTGAATAACATCCAACCAGTGGGTACTTTCTGTCGTCGAGAAGGGGTACCTAATAGAATTTATCCAGATACCCGAGGCCCCCAACTTCATACTTACCCCACCATCTAGTATGCTCCTGGAAGAGATCCAGAACCTTCTGCAACAGGACTCTTTAGAATCAGTCCTGACAACACAACGT